TTTCTTTCTCTTTCTTTCTTTCTTTCTTTCTTTCTTTCTTTCTTTCTTTCTTTCTTTCTTTCTTTCTTTCTTTCTTCCTTTTTTAGAGAGAAAGAGAGAGCATGCGAGCAGGGTGGGGAGGGGCAGAGAGGGAAAGAGAGTATCTTAAGCAGGCTCCATACTCAGTGTGGAGCCTGATGTGGCGTTTGATCTTAACGACCCTGAGATCATGACCTGAACTGAAATCAAGAGTCGGGACGCTTAACCAACTGAGCCACCCAGGCGCCCTTCTTTCTTTTTCTTTTTAAACATTAATTTTTAATTATTTAAAAATAATTTTAAAATAAATTGAATTTTTCTAGAGCGGTTTTAGGTGTACAGCCAAATGGAGAGGAAGGTACAGAAATTTCCCATTTACCCTACCCCCACACATGCATAGCTTACCCCGTTATCAATATCACTCACCAGAGCCGTACATGTATTTCAGTTGATGAACCTCCACTGACATATCATAGCCACCCAAAGACCATAGTTTTCATTAGGTTTCACTCTTGGTTTTGTACATTCTATGGGTTTGGACACATGTAAAATGACATTGACATGTATCCAGAATTATAATATTGTATAGAGTATTTTCACTGCCTTAAAAATCGTCTGTGCTCGGGGTGCCTGGGTGGCTCAGTCATTAAGCATCTGCCTTCAGCTCAGGTCATGGTCCCAGGGTCCTGGGATCGAGCCCCTGCTCGGTGGGCAGCCTGCTTCTTCCTCTCCCACTCCCTGTGCTTGTGTTCCTGCTCTCACTGTGTCTCTTTCTGTCAAATAAATAAATAAATCTTTAAAAAAAAAATCATCTGTGCTCTATCTATTTATTCTGTATCCCCTCTGGCAACCCCGGATCTTTTAAGGTCTAACACTAATCCATAGTTTTGCCTCTTCCAGATTGTCATTGAGTCATAATCATACAGTATGTGGGCTTTTCAGATTGGCTTCTTTTACTTAGTAATATGCTTTTAAGGTTCTTCCATGTCTTTTCATGGTGTGATAGCTCTTTTTTTTTTTTTTTAGTGCTGAATAACATTCCCTTGTCTAGATGTACCACAGTTTATTTATCCATCCATTCACCTACTAGAGGACATCTTAGCTGCTTCCAAGTTTTAGCAGTTGTGAATAAAGCTGCTATAAATATCCATGTGCAGGTTTTATGTGGACATAAATTTAGATAAATACCAAGGAGCATGATTGCTGGATGATAGGGTAAGAGTATGTTGGGTTTTGTAAGAAACTGCCAAACTGTCTTCGAAGGTGGCTGAACCATTTTGCATTTCTGTCAGCACTGAATGAGAGTTCCTGTTGCTCCACATCCTTGTCAGCATTTGGGGTTGTCAGTGTTTCGGATTTTGGCCATTTCAATAGGTGTGTAATAGTGTCTCGTGGTTTTGATACTCCTTCTTTTAAGGTTAGTGTTACAGATGACACTTGGTGGCTGGGAAGACTAAAAGTTATCATTTGAAGGGAAAACATGGTTGATTCCATTGATTTCTCAATGACTTGATATCTGAAAGGATTGAAAAGGTAAATTAAGTCACACAGAGACGAACAAAAAAGTTAAGGGTTTAAAAAACCACAGCCTTAGTCTCTAGGAGTTTCTACAGTTTTCTCACTGATAGTCTCATAAATAAATACCGGATAAGGATAATAGTCATAATAGCTAATTAATGCTATGTTCAGTTAAAGCTAAAAGCCAGGGCTACTATTAAGACAATCAGTGTAAATCTACTTGAGAAGAAAAAGAAAATTCCAGTGAACAAATTAAATAACAAACAAAAATCCAACTGCTGTAAATTCTGAAAATCTCCGGGGGTCTCATTATCATTCAACATAAATCCTTACAGACTTATTTATTAACACAGAACTACTAAAATGAGCATTTATCTCCATCTGCAAGTGAAATTAGGATTTAGTGGAAAGGGGGAGAAAAAAAAAAGAAAGGGTTTTCAGGCTCTAAAGCTGTCTTTACAATGGTTTGTATTTTATGGTGTATGCCAGTGTGTGCTTATAAGATAATTAAATTGTGTAGGTTATTTTGGTGATTTGAGAAAAAGCTTTGGTTTTCCATTGCCTTCGTTATTTTTGTAAGATTTGAAGCATGTCAAGGGGCAGGATTGGATTAGGAGTGGTGCTGGATTTTCATGACAGGACTGTTAGCTCTCGGGGTCCTAGCTCCTTTACCTGAAATGAAGGGTTTGAACCTAGATGATTTTTTTGAGATCTTTTAGGCAACACGGATATTCTCTGATTTTTCAGCTGCTCATGGTACTCCCTATTCTTTAACAAAGCCTTTGACTCTACATTCACCGCAGACTTAATGAGAAGCCATTGAAAGTGAGCCGGCTGTTTTGAGATTGCAGGCATATCACTCAACCAAGCACAACAGCAATGATAGGACAAGGTCAGCGGGCTTCAGAGGACTCAAGAATTTCTCTGTCAGAGCACCCCAAGGCCAGAACAGTCTAGAAAATCTTGCAAGGGCTGCTGTGTCTATGTTACCAAACTTGTTCTCAACATCTCTCTTTAATAATAGATCTTTGATTTTTTTTTTGAGGCTATAACACATATATATCTGAAATGAAACAAAACAAAATCAAATCCTGAAAGACAAGGGTTTTCCTTACACAAAAGCAAAATGTGTTTCACATTTTATGTGTTGGCCTTGGTCCAAATTAAATAATCTGGGAAAGTCATTAAATGCATTTAAGAGTTTAAATACTGTTGCCCATTGTTCCTCCTCTCTGGGTAAGCTTTATGACCTAAAAGAGCTTATTTTTAAAAGAGTTTATTTGGGTACAAAAAGTGTTGTAAACCCTTGTTGCTTACCTGCAGATTTTGTCAGATGTACTACTATTCCCTGTCTATCCCAACTTCTTGCTTCTAGAATCTTGAAGGAATATTTGATAATTAGTTTTTTTCTTCCTGTTTGGTCCAAGATAGCTTCTGAGACAAACCCAGGGACCTAGTAAGGATATTTTGTGTTTAAACTGTTGTGACTTATCTTTCAGATATTTTAATCTAGCAAAAACACAGAGTTAGCATTGAGACATGAAAAATCATTGTTCCCCTCCCCTGTAGTGGTGATGACTTCTTGTCTGTAGACCCATGAATGGACTGTGGACGGGAAACACAATTATTCTTAACAAATTTACCAATTTTAGTGAAATGCTTTAGCAATTACCTGCACATGCATATGCCAGATTTACGTCTTTTAGGTGGTAATGTATAATTAATGGTAAGCCATGGTGACCAGACGTCCAGGGATGTGTTCAGAGTCACAGTTTGTCTCTGTTGTCCTCTAACATTTTTTTTTTCTTTCTGCAGCTATGTGGCATCTTGATCCTGGGAGGAGCAATTTGGATCCGAGTTAACAAAGATGGTCAAGAGGTAAATAAATAGATAGAAGCTTCTCTGCTCCCAAAGTAGTTTATTTCTCTTATAATGATGAAAGTAATGACAATAATAATATAAATATTTCCATAGCCTTTTCCTTAACTACCTGATGTAGTCCTTTGTGCTGGTATGTGATTTTATAATTTAATTCAATTTAATTAATCAAAATTACTCACTATGTGCCTGGCACTGTGCTAGGCATGGATCAATCCTTCTGGAGAATGGAGAGGTGTTATTTCAAAGATAGGAAGATTGCCATGAACGTGGAGGTCGGAAGGGGCTAGAGTGGAAATCAAGCTCCTTCGTTATTGGCAGAAGGCCGGCCTGAAGTGTAGCTGGAGGATACGGACTACCATTCCTCCGCACCAATGTCTCTAGTACGAGGTACTGATCGTCATTCGGCTGATCCCAAGGTGGGAGGGTGGTCCAAAAGTAAAGAAGATGAGAAGTTCTCTTGGAGAAGAAGAATTTGAATCTGTGTTTTAAAGGCAACAAGGTACAAAGATGGTTGGTAATTACCTGTGCCAACTGGCATCGAGGGTGACTCCTCAGAATAGTAAGAGGCTGGTCCCGCTGGGGTGACTCAGCCGTTGGCTGGGGGTGTCCAGCCTCTTGCTATCTAGATAAAATTAGCACGAACCCCTTCACCGCCCTCCATTCCACGCCCTGTGGCAAAGCTCTCACCAAGACGTCCACAGGTCAGGACGAAGTTTAGCTCAGAGAGTTAATTCTGGCTCCGGTGTTTGGATCGCACGCATGCGTGCTGTTTCTGTTCTGCACCACATACACCTTTGCGGATGTGAAAGAGTGCCTGAGGGGAAAAAGGGGAAGGCGCGGGCTTTTCCTTTGGTTTTACCCAACATAATAGCTGGCATCATTTCCTGGCTCCCCTGCTTCTATTCTTCTCTCGCCCTTCTTCTCAAGGGCACTCCATCCCCCAAATTATTATTCTTAACCGCATGCAGGGCACATCCCTTATTCTCTGTGGTCTGGGCCCTTGCCACCATTCAGGATCCCATCTTCCACTGCTAGAGCCTTTTCAAGGTATTTATTTGCCCAAATAAAGTTTCTGCCTCTAAGAGGAATTTTGATCCTGATTTGATAATTATTAAGGTATATTAAGCCAGCAATTAATGTATTTTCTACAAAAACTTATTATGCCGTGATGAAGCTGAATGCCTTTGGAGACAGCCTTGTTGTAAGAAAGATTAAAAGCAAATTAACATGTGTTCTGATTCCTTTCCTCAACTGGGTGGCTTTTCTGCCCCTTCCCCCCTTCCCGCCTGCCTGCCTTCTTTCCTTCTTCCCTCCCTCCCTTTCCTCCCTCCCTCCCTCTCTCCCCCCGCCTCTCTTCCTCCCTCCCTCCCTCCCTTCCTCCCTTCTCTGTCTCCTCTTCTCTTTTTAAAATCGGCTCTCTACCCTTGGAGAGCCCAAAGAGTCACAGAAGCCGGTACCAGCTTCCTCATTGTGCGCCTACCCACGGTGACGAAATTGGGTGGGGGACAGGTGTGGCAACTAGTTGGTAACATCCTAGCCCATCTGGATTTCATTTATGGTTTTATACTGATAACTGTTAACCGTGACTTCCTGGTGGCCTTGGGCTCTGGGTTTGAACTCAAGAAGGGTATTTGAAGATGTGCTGAATCTCTGGTGTCTAGAAGCTGATGTATGACTTTCGGATGCATAATTAAGCATAGAGATTAAACAGCCACCTATTCAGAGGGCGCTTTGGCCTTTTTAAGATATGTGTGCAGCCTGTCTTTTATTTTATTTCTGGTTGATATGGGAACATTTTCTTTCCCCCAAGTACTTCTGGTAAACAACTTTGGTGTTTAGTCTGTTAAGAAATTCCACACATTGAACGTATTAAAGGAAAATTGTTGTCCTTGAGAGGGTGGGGCTCCACATCTGGGGACATGGAATGAATTCATAGAGTGAGGCAGCATCTTCGGGTACATTTTGACTCTTGTGCTCTGTCAGCCTCGAGCCCTGGATGAAAGTCTCTATCCGCTAGGACACCCTTAACCAGCTTGACTTCTGTGAAATTGGCTTGATTTATCTTTATCTGAAGTCAGTGACAAAGAATGGAGACTGCAAAGAACTGAATTTTAGTAGTGGAAAAACAGAGGCAACAGTTTTAGAGGGAAAAGCATTGAGCATGAGGGCAAAAAGGAAGAATGTCAGGGAGGTCTTTGTGCACAACTTTTAGCATATCGCTTTGTGCTGAAAGGGTCTCTCATTAGGACACTTTGTTTTCCCTCGGGAAACTCAGTGCCCAGAGGCAAAGCCTTTGGCGCAGCCATTCTAGTCTCAGGAGATCTCTTAGAATCTGCAGAACACCTTGAGCCCTCTCCTTCAATGTTCAGCCATTAGAAATTCTCCCTTTGTCTTAACACACACAGACACTGTCATCCAAGACAGCTTTTAAAACTCTGCTGTCTCTTTCCTGGAGTGAACACCTGAACTCAGATTTCCATTTCTTGCCTGAAAAAGAAAAGCCACTTGTTGGGCTGGGCTTGGAACAGCAATCCCCCAGGCATCCAACACACTGCTTTCTGGCCAGTCTCTGGCAGGGGATCACGCTGCCCACACCAGTCTTATAGAACTGCCTCATTACCTGGCGAATAAATGCTGGCTGCACTCTGCAGTCTCAGCTGTAGATATTTGACCTGTTATTTCTGTGTGGCCTGTAAGCCAAGTTCTGACAACTCAGACAGTGAGTTACCTCTCTCAGATGCCTTCTGGTTTACCTGTACTGGCCGACCTTCTAGGGCGGTGTTTGATGGCGAGTGGGTAGAGGGGGTTTCCTAATGCTGCTTTTTTTGTCATTATCTACTTTGACCCAGGTGCCATGCGTGTTTATTAACAAAACCGATTTCTTAGCTCCAATATGAACAAGCAAACAGCAATCAAATAAACAAAAAACCTGAAAAACAAACAAAAAATCTTTAGGACAGAACCAAGCTTTCTAAATATGTAAGTCGAAACATTATCTGTAAGCATAGACTCAGAGACAAAGGAGGCCTCAGCGATTACAGAGGGTGACCCAATTTCCTTTAGAAATGGGAAACTGGGGCCCCACCGGATTAGTTGACTAGTCTAGGGTTAGAACCTTAGTTATATATAAGGACCCTGACTAGAGTATAAATCTTTGTTTTAATGCTTTTACAGTTTCAGCACATTCCTTCCTATTGATTGTTGAATGAAGCTTTCCTCTAGGCTATGAGCTGGTTTTTAAAGTCTTTAAAAACGTACACATCATTACTAGTAGTTTTTTTTTTTTTTTAATGTATTTCCTGTTAAGGGAGCTGACCCACATGCTGTGCAGCAGAATCTAGGAGGCAGAGTCTCTGAGTTAGTGTAACGACTAGTGTTCTCCCTGGAAATAGCCCAGTAGATAGAGATCATACAAGATGGATGAGGTCCACGGAGCGCTCCTCTACAGTATAAGCACAAGACTTCACTTTTCGCTTGTGATTTATGTGGAGGACAAGTGGTAGATTGAGGCTACGGATCACGAAGGTGATGAAGAAGAGTATGTGTATTGCTGGAGAGAAGAACTGAATTACGCAGGGAGGGTAGCCCGAGCCCATATAAGGAGCCCTAGGATGTTTTCCTCAATATCCCATTGATTAACAGGCAAAATAAAGAGTTTCTGAAGACTCTAAAGACCCTACCTTCTGGGGACAAGGAGATAGAATTATGTGGAATATCAAGATCTAGACTTATTTTCTTAGTTTAAATATTTTAGTTTGTTTTGACAAGTGTATAGACCTGTGTGATTACTATTACAATCAACATGCAAAGCATTTTTATCAACCCATAAATGTTTACTCATATCCCTTTGCAGTCAGTTCCTTCTTTCCTTCCTGTCTTACTCAAAGTCAAGCACTACTCTGATTTCTGAGTTACCTATTCTTGAATGTCATATAAATGGAATCATACAGCAATCACTCTTTTGAATGTGGCTTATTTAGCTCACCATAATGTTTTTTTAAGATTCATTCATATTGTTGGGTCTCTTGGTAGTTTGAAGAACTTGCCTTTCTGATTTAAATAATTAAATTGCCATAAAAAAACGCATGCTTTACTATGTGACTCTTATGTATAAAACACAAAATATGCAAACGGAAGGTCACATCATGGGTGAAAGTACCTATCCTTCTAAGCTTTTAAAAATAATCGGCATTTTAAAAGCCTATTTCTTCCACACAGCATCCAATATATCATCTTAGAAAAATGTAAGTTGGATAAGTAACACCCCAATAGAATGTAAGCTCCTTGAAAGCGGGATTTTTTTTGCTTCTGTAGATCACTGAAGTATCTCAAGGTGCTAGAATAGGGCCTGGCACATACTAAGTACCCAATGTATATTTGTTGAACAACTGACATCGAAGAAAGGGATTTTTCTGTCATTAATCTCTTTTTTATTTTCAGATTCTCAACTCTGGGGATTTTGCCACTAGCCCCTATATTTCTGTGAACATCTTGATTGCTGTGGGGTCTACCATCATGATTCTGGGTTTCCTGGGATGCTGTGGCGCCATTAAAGAAAGCCGCTGTATGCTTCTCTTGGTGAGTTCTCCAGACAAAACGCAATACCCAGCCTTCAGGCTTCTGAGGATGGTCTGCCATTCCCATTGTCTGTCAAAAGGAGTTGCCAAGATTGATGAAACTCTAACTTTTGTTTAGGGGAGTTGATTATAGAAGCTAATATTTTTTAGCTTAGATTAGAGGATGCCCTGAGAAATTTTAGTCCTTCCTTCCTTGTTTCCTTCCTTCCTTCCTTCCTTCCTTCCTTCCTTCCTTCCTCCCTCCCTCCCTTCCTTCTTCCCTCCCTCCCTTTCTCCCTTCCTTCCTTCCTTCCTCCTTTCCTTCCTTCTTTCCTTCCTTCCTTCCTTCCTTCCTTCTTACTGAGTACCTGCTGTATGTCAGACACTGTGCTAAAAGATACATAGACATTAAGACAATTAGAACCCATTAGGGAAGACTGACAAGCCAACTATTAGCTACAGTGTGAATGGCCCAAGAAGAGGAGGACAAGGGTAGAGGAGAGAACTTTCAAGCTGGAAACAGAAGTGAGAAAGGTGTTTGTGTGGATGAGGGGGTGATGGGCTTTCCAGGGAGAGAGGTTGGCCGTACGATGCTGGCACGTTTAGGGTATGACAAGGCCTTGGGTATGGCTGGAGTGTGACAGAGGCTGTTTTTAGTAAATGATGGGAAATGGGTCTGAGTATGGATGGCGCCAAATCATATTCCACGTTAACAAAATTGTAAGAGAGGGAGGTAATCAGATTTGTCACTTAGAAAGCTTCAAGGAAGATGGATTGGGTTGGGATAACCCACAAACATTTACTTTTAACATGCGCAGTAGAAAATAATATATGGATGTAGAAAAAAATATTGGAAAAAGATCATGACATATTTATTAGATAAAATCTAACATTAGCATTTACAGAGCTCGTTTAAGCTTGTTTCTCTCATAAAATAAGTATTGTGTCTGTCCCTGAAAGATATTTTGTAACAGTTTGTTTATTATGAGGGGAGGTAGAGACAGAGCTTAACAGGATTTTAATAGTATCCCTAGTGGTTGCCTTTTGGTCAATAAGGCCTCATTTGCAATTTGGGAGATTTAATTACTCAAGAAGCTTGTTTTAAAGAGAGAAAAACCAACTTAAGGGCTGCATTCTTTAAAGTTATAATTTGGTAGGGTGGGAGGATGGGTTAGCCTGGTGATGGGTATTAAGGAGGGCACGTTCTGCGTGGAGCACTGGGTGTTATGCACAAACAATGAATCATGGAACACTGCATCAAAAATTAATGATGTAATGTATGGTGATTAACATAACAATAAAAAATTTTTAAAAAAGTTATAATTTGGTAGATCTGAGACAGGTTTCAGGAGTGTACATTTATAACGAGATCCCGGGTGATTCTGCTAACCGTAGAAAACTTGTTTTGAACTCACTTCTGAAGTTTGTTTTAGAGTTTGTGCAAGTTTGTGTTTGATGGAGAGAAAGAAGTAGAAAGATAATATTCAGATAATTGCATCTAAATGTTCAAACTTCCCTCCATTCAACATCACATTGATGCCTACAATCCTATCAATAAATTTTTGTTTTAACCACTTTGCTTGGTCAGTGTTTGAAGCAAATTTTCCTGACTACTAATGGCCCCCAAATTGGCTTTTTGAGGCAAAGGGTAGAATAAATGAAGAACGCGGTTATTATTCCAACTGTAATACAATCCCGTTTGCAGGGAAAAAAGCGCTAAGACCAAATGTCCCAAGATGTGACTGAATGCCCTGGGGATAATATGTATTCCATTTCTTTTTTTTTCTTTCAGTTTTTCATAGGCTTGCTTTTGATCCTGCTCCTGCAGGTGGCAGCAGGTGTCTTAGGAGCTACTTTCAAATCTGACGTATGTACACATGATATTTGATAATTTTGGAAAAGTCTGAAAAATCAAAATACTACCTTCTGGCATGAATAATTTAACAATGCTTTTCAATTTTCAGTCCGAGCGCATCCTGAATGAGACTGTCTCTCAAAATGTAAAGCTCTTAAGTGAAACAGGTGAGGAGGCACAAGCATTCCAGAAAGCCCTGAGGGAATTTCAAGGAAAGGTAATTGGAACTTACAGGCCATTTGGGGAATTGGGCGTCGGTTTTATGTTTACTTAATTTTTAACAGGTGTATTCCTTAACATAAAAACATGTCTCCATTTTGCAGTTTTTGACTATTCTGTCACTGTGCAATAAGAGAAATCCAAGAATATTTCTAACTTTGTTTCCAGCTTCTTATAAAGTTCTGAAGCAGTTTAGAAGGACAGAGATTAAGAAGATATGTTTATGACCAATTAAGCCTCAATTGGACCAAATCAATAGTTGTTTCATATTTACCATTTAGCGGGATAGTGTGTTTGGGGCATTTGGAAAGTCTCTCTCTCTTTCTCTCTGCCTCCATGTCTGCCCCACTCTGTCATAAAAATAACTACAGGTATCATTTATTGCTACTTAATATGTACTAGGCCTTACATTCAGTAGCTCATTTAATTTTTATGACAACTCTTTGAGATGGATCGTATTATCTTTATTATCCCTCTTTTATAGATAAGGAGGTTAGGTCTTGGAGGGGTCTGACAGCTAATGAGTAATGAGATTGGAATTTGAACCCAGTTGTCTGACTATTTTTTTTTAATTGGTATACCAGCCCCTCCCTTATTTACTTATTGAAGTTGCTTCTCTGTCCTTAGGGTAAAGTCAAAACTTGGGCAGGCGTGGAAGGGATTATACTCTCTGGCTCTTACCTAGTATTTTAATATTAGTAAACACTACTCCGTAAAAATAAAACAAACAAAAACAAAAACAAAACAAAACAAAAACCCTCCACTCTAGTCCAGTCAGGTTCCTCTACTCAGGATCCCTTAAACAATTCTGCCTTCCTATCTTGGCATCATTCTCTATTGTGGAAAATACTAATACTTTTCTCTTTCTTCCCAAATACTACATGTATTTCAAGGCTTGACTACAATATTACTTACTCTGTGAAACTCCTAATCACTCCTTCTTCATTCAGAATTCCCATCGTATGAACTACATGTAGCATTCAGTTCACATGTTAGGGAAATTCTCAGAATCTCAGAGGACAGTTGGACTTTGTAGGGCCTTTAACTTGACTTCTCACTGATTGAAGTATTTTATATTTATGTTCATCCACTCTCTAAACATTGAAGAATTGAAAGTTCATCAGTTTTTGCCCATCCTATCCCCTTTATATCTAAGGCTGATGATTAGTATGTTCTTTCTTAATTTGAAACAAAACCTGACGCCCTAGGATTTACATCATTTAGTCCTAGTTCTTCCTTCTGGACTTTCAGAGGAAAAAGAAAATCTACTGATGCTTCAGCACATTGCCACTTTTACTTTGACAATGGCTATCGTATGACTTCTAAAAGCTTTGCTTTTTAAGTTGAAACATCCTTAGTTTCTTGAACTATTTATCAGATGACTTTTTTTTTTCCCAGAGCATTCCCCAGTTCCTGTTTGAATAGACTCCAGCTTGTAAAAATTCTGCTTAAAGCATCATTTCCAAGAACTGAAACCTGATAGGAGTCAGTCTCTGTTTCACTTCCTCTGTGGTGTGCTTTTCCCAGCTTCCCCAATAGCTGCATTTCTTGATCCTCTCCCCTCTAGCATCCTACTCTGGAGCCCAGATCAATCCAGGTTTAAAGCAGGAAGAATTTAAGCAACTCAGTTCTTCCCCTGGGTGGGACTGAGCATCCTTGATCCTCCCTGGTGGTTGACCTAAGACAAAATGTACTATAGGTAACCACTGGATCTCTGGATTGAATCCTGAATCACACTTGCTGCACATTGTCCCTGATATCCAAGGTCTCAGTACCAACCACGGGATTCTAAATGTTCTGTTTATTGTGGCACAGTTCTGAATTACTTCCATTCTTGTACACTGATCCTATGCCTGAAGCTTCCTATGTTCATAGAACTATAGTTCTTTTTTAATGCCCATTTTGAGTTCCTTCCTTCCTTCCTTCCTTCCTTCCTTCCCTCCCTCCCTCCTTTGCTCTCTCTCTCCCTCCCTCCCTCCCTTGCTCTCTCCCTCTCTCTCTTTCTCTCTTCTTCTCTTCCTTTCTTTCTTCCAATGCACGGGGTCAGAGTGGGAGTGACAGGTGGGTGGGGTGCCAGGCTCATTTCTACAGAGCTGAACCATGTGCAGTGGGAAAGCATCCCGTATTACATCCGCTCCTGATGATCCGCTTTGTGCATCCCCCTCCCTCCATCCCTCCCTCCTTCCTCTCTCCACCAGGGCTTTTCCTTTTTAGTAATGCTTTTTTTTGGAAAAAGAATCTTACACCAAACTCTGGCTGGATGACTTGGGGCCCCACCCACACATGGATAGAAGTTGTAGATACAAAGTGGTTTTCTCTTTGGATTTCAGAGAATTCCTCCCATGAATTCTCTGCTAACATACTAATGGAATGTGCTCCTCTTGGATTCTTGGTGATGACTCTTTGTCTAGAGGTTGTTGTATTATTCACTGTGCAGTGCCGTGTTCAGCCAGCTGTGATAACACTTTCAACAAATCCTGACCAACTTCTTCCTCGACTTCTCTCACATCTGATCTGGTGACCAGATATCATACCAAGTTCAGCCTTTCTACCTCCTACCGTGTCTTCTGTTTCTAAGCCTCCCTAAGGAATCCTGAGGTATATTGGGTTTCAGATATGGACTGATCTGTGAGTGCATATAATGGGACTTTTAAAAAAAATCTGGCTGTCTATATCAATTAATATTATTCAAGATTATTTAATCAGAAAGCAGGAGCAATTAATCATGTCTACCATGGAAACAGGAAAGGAAGTTATTTCAAGACTGCCCTCTTTGCTCATATTGATCGACTTCGGGGCCAACTGAAATCTCTCACTCTTTGTCTTATGAATGTCTGCTGAGTCATATATTTGTACAATTCAGGCTTTGAGCCGAAGTGCAAGACTTTATATCTGCTTCCACTGAACTTGTTGGTTTGAGTCCATTGTTTGAACTAACTTTGGAACTTGATTCCATTCCCCAAAGCGTTAATCATCACTGTCAGCTCTATATCCACTACAGAGTTGAAAAGGTACTTTCCAAATATTTATCTGAATTATTCATATCAGTGTTGAACAGAGCATAATGGAAATAGCAACTGCCACCACAAAATAACAACAACAACAGCTGACACATACTGAGTACTTTCTACAAGCCAGGCACTGGGCTAAGCACTTCATATCTTCACAAGAATTTTCCCATTGTTTTCTTTACAACAAATCTACAACTTACATATACTGTGAGCAACTAGTATTATCTGCATTTTACAGATGAAGAAACTGTGGCACAGAGAGGTTAAGTAATGGGGGTAATGTGGCCACCCAGCCAGTAAGTGGAAGTTTTCTCAATATCCTGGCATTATAATGCATATGAGCCTAGAAAACCATGTAGTCTTGGTTCTATTTTCTTCAGCAATTTTTTTCTACATTTTCTTCATGAAGAGTTGTCTTTCTAATAGATTAAATAGAACAGGATGAGGGACAGTTACTTCTCTTTCATCTAATCATATGATGTGCCATATACCCTGAATCGTTGGGTTCATTGCTTCCTTGTTTCTCCTTCCCAGAACATGACCATAGATTCCTTAAGTGTTTGCCCACATTTCAGTGTATTCTGGGACTTCCTTGACATTATTTTAAGAGCTTCATCCTTCCTTTGCATCCCTCCCCCATTTTGCGGACATCCATATAAAGTTCAGCCTCGCGGGAGGCTCACTAAGCATCTCCTTTGGCCTTTGAGGAGCCTCTCACTCCTTTCCGCCTCTCCTCCAAAAATGATCAAAGATCATGACGTGGAAATTTCATCCTTTAAAATCTCTCATCTCTTTTGAACAAAAGTTCTTTAAAGAGAACTTGATTTTCTCATGAACCCTTTGGAAGCTTCTTTCCCCAAATCTAGGATACATAGATCTGATTCAGCCCCTCTCTTTTATCATTGAAAACTAGGTGAGTTTTTCATCTTTTCTCCAACGTCCTCAGACTTGTGCATCTGCAATCCTATTTTTCCTTCATTAATATTAAGACCAAAATGGAAGATTCCTTCATTTTTGCTTCTACATCCAGAGAAGTTGGTGAGGTGATTCACGTGACATTTTAGGGTAGGAAACATCTTAATAATAGTTTCAGAAAAATAGGATTCAATGTATTAACAATGTTTTTTTTTTTTTAATCTTCTTTGGTGATTGTTTTTTTATATCTACTTTTCATTAAACAGTTTAAATGCTGTGGTTTGGTCAATGGAGCTGCTGACTGGGGAGATAATTTTCAGCAGAATTCTATGTCATGTGAATGTCCAAGTTCGTCAGATTCTTCTTGTGTGATGTATGAAGGCAAACTTGTTTACCAACAGGTGAGAACAAATCAAATTTGACACAGTAAATGGTTCTGTTGATTTTTTTCCACAATGAGTCTTTACAAAAAAAATTAAATTGCAAGCAAATACAATAGGAATGATGATATAAACGTCCCAGGAATTTCCCCCCACCCAAAAATTTAAAGATAAAAGCAGATATAAAAAAAGTGAAAGAATTTCATTTTTTTCTGTGAGTCTGATATCATTTAAAGTCAAGATTAATAGATCAAAGAAATCCACTGCAAGGAGAAGGAAAGTACAAGCTAACTGATGAAAGTTATCCTCGTTAATAATGATTAATGACTTTAATCATTATTCTTCTCTACTTTTTATATTTTAACATAAATCCTAGAAATCTATATTTTCACTTTAGTTTGCAAAATAAAGATTTCTTTTTCTTATCAAAGGTTCCTTTTCTCAAGTAATTGTGTAGGTATAAAGACTTGACCTTTAGGGGTTTGGCTCTGGATGTTAAGTATTATCAATCAATTTGCCTAATTATTGCTCCAATTGAGAAGTTGCCTCAGACATTTAAAGTCAATTGAAAAAGCTGGGTTTGTCTTTTATGTACTGTAGATGTCATATTTATGTCACTTGTAGATGTCAATATGTGAATGTTATATTTCTTATTATTGCTTAATTCATCAAATATGACTGACCACCTCCTATGGGCCAGGCCTTTTACCAGGCACTGGAAATCCATTCCTGACAGGCACAATGTCTGCACTCATGGAGCTGTTGCTCGAATAATGAAGAGAGAAAGAAAACTAGGCAACTTCATTTCAACGAATTATTGGTATTTCTTAGATACGGACAAGGTATTACATGACCCTATCTAACACAGTCTTCAGGGTTCACAGATTTAATATCTATCCCTTACCACAGGGCTTTACATAAATTGTTCCTTCTGCTTGGGAGGAATGAATAGGAAAATGATAATTGATATTAATATTTCATTTATTTGCTGTTATTCTTCAGTGCTCACTATGTATCAGACAGGCCCTTGCTAAAATCACACATACTTCTGGACCCTCCAAGAGATTATAATCTAGTTGAGAGAAAGATGCATAAAAGCTTTTATATGTCAATGAGTTAATTTCTGTAATACCTGAAGATTATTTTCATTTTGACATTGGTGTAGTAATGGCTACTGAGGTTAATTATATAGTAGGAAGTAGAAAGTATCTTGGGGGAAATTTTTCTCCCACTGGCTGTCACATTCCTTTTGCTAATCTCATCAAAAATCAGGAGACTCTGTTCTAAAGGGGAATTGCCGTTACTTGTACTTAACATAATTCAAGGGGAGAAGTTATCCCGACCAGACTACAGAGCAACCATGTTTTTTATTGTCAAAGTAGTATCACTAAACAGTTTCATTCTTACTTTTTATATTCCTTCCGACCTAGTTTAGTGATGTGATATCTGCGAGGAAAGAGGGGAAATAAATATGGTGTAAATGAATGCAGTTGCCACTTAGGATGATGAGGACATTAGTAAATTCAGTTTCAGATTGTTATTTGTTGCCTGTTAAAGATTCAATTCAAAGATGTTTTTCCACGGGATAGATTTTTTCATCCTAAAAAGTAATAGACATTCCCTCCAAATTCACACATAATTCAGCGGAAGATAGGCTGAGAGCTGCACCAGTTTCCCAAAAGGAGGGTCATAAATTCATAAACTACTTCCATCTGCCTTGTGTCATTTGCAAGAAGTCTGGAAAAATAAGAAATCTGGAATGGCCATAATTCACATTTCTCCCCCCTCCCCCTTTTGCCAAGATAACCTGGTTATCTGCAGGGGAAAGGGGGAGAAAACTCCTCAAATATAATGAATGTGACTCAGTAGATAAGATCATTAATCTAATAGTTATCCCTAAATGACATAATAATTTACTCTAATATTTACCACTTTGGATCAGATGTGAATGGAGAAACCCATTACATTCAAGAGTGAGAGGGAAAAGACTGTTTTACTCAGCCTTATGGAGAACTTTTATTTTATTAACCATAGCAATGTTTTGTTAGCCCTCTGTGCATATAAGACTATCACAGGGATGATATTTTTTCTGGCAATACAAATAATACCACTATTACATTGTGTAGTATTTTTCCATTTTGAAAATTATCCATATAATTTACAATTGTTAGAATTTTTAGGTCTGGTCTGAAATGTTATAAGCTTGAAATTGCGTGCTAGTTTGAACATATTTCAACAAATGTGGCAGAGAGGCTAGTTTCTAAATTCTCATTTTTATCTGAAGTAAAGACAAAATAGTGGACATAATAATTTTTTTCCTTTTTAAAGTAAAAATAACCCTGATATAAATTATTAAGGCATTTTTTTAAAAACCTTGTTTTAAAAATGGAAAATTTGTGCTCCAATTAGCTGAAACCCCAACCAGGGAGCTCTTTGCTGCAGATTACAAGCTTAAAAATACACAAAGTGATAATAGTTCTAAAATGAATAATTGAAAGTTAGGATAAAATTATTCCTTATACCTAAAGATCCCTAGATTTATCAATGAGATAGTCGAAGCAAAATTTTACTTCTCGGTGCTTTCTAACGTATGAACAAGCCACAATTAACGACCTCTTGGAGCGGGGTGTAGTGTCGCATGGTGGAATGGCAGAGTGGAATAAGCCAATTCCTTTTTGTTGACTGTTCCTCTGTAGCAATATAAAAAACCCAATGGGGGGGAAACAATCTTAATTAAAATGAGGCCAAAATTTTGATTAAATGTAACTTTTTATGTTTTTTTTTTTAACAGCCATGCATTTCTTTCATAAAAGAAATAGTTGCCAAACATTTTCTCATTGTTATTGGAATAGCATTTGGACTGGTGGTTATTGAGGTACAGTATAACCTTGTATTGTTGACTCTTCATTCATTCCCTTGTTTATTCATTAATTCCAACAAATATTTATAGTAAGCCAAATATAAACAAGGTGCTTGAGAAAAACACTGGGTGCCAACTGCCCAAGGTCTAGCATTTTGTTCTAGCAGTCTTCAGTCTGGGGAGAGGATTATAATCTATCAATTCAGCAGGGCTGAAACCATTATTTATGAATAATCTCTCCACTGGGAAACAAAAATTGAATTAACTTACACAGTTCTTAGTCCCAGATAGCCTTTTCCTGTTGAAAACTAGCCCAAGAGTTAAAGTTTCCTGAAGTTAGAAGAAAAAGCACCAAACAAAACCAAAACATGACCTTTACAATTTCTTATCTCTCTTCCCGATTTTGAAGCAGAAAATAAAAACTCAGGAGTGTGGGGAGCTCTTTTCCTGCTGTTCCGTCTAGAGAAATCTGACAGTTTTTAAAAACTAGAGACAGGTGCCTTAAAGACTATGGGCTCACTTGAAGTTTTAAAGGAAATTTGAGATTTATATATTTACTCTCATCATTTTAATTATTGGTGTTGAAAAAAAGTCCTGTAGACTTTTATAAACCTGTATAGGACTTTTTCTTGATGGATTTTCTTGACATGACTTTTTTAAGAACCTGAAGATGCTTTGTACATGGCCTAAAATTCTTTGCTAAAAAAGATGAAATAAAACTATTTCAGAGAAGCATTTTTGGAATCATTCCAGATCTTGGCTAATTTAGATATCAAGTGAGTCAATTCACTCTTGATCCCCTGTCAGGACATTGTTAAGAATCCTAATAACGTGTAAGGTGTCTTCCTGCTTCCTACCACTGAGGGCTGGTTAGGTCAGATGAGTAACTTCTGCTTCACTCTCGTAGATTGCTATACAATGTCCTCCCTGGGATATCTGGTAGCTTTCTACCTCTTACTTGTGCTACTTTACCAAACAGAGAGGAATTTTAGCTGGGATTGAAGCAATTTAGTGTTCTAAGTGGTCTTTTAGGTTACTAGTAGAGTTTGAACAGCAAGTTGGGCTGTTGAGTATTACTTCCTTGCAGTCCAAATTAATAGGTCTAAGTATGACACATTCTGTGTCAGTAGATATGGATAACTTTCTTTTTGTCTGATATATGATGTACGTCAAATGGTGCTATGCACCAGGTCTGCTTCTCTTTTGATTCTGCCTTTTGTAAAATGTCCTTTGCTGCTTTGCTTTGTATTTTGGGTTCATGCAAGTTTAGAAATAATGAGCTAATGGTTGTAGAGATGAGTAAGGAATCACACACAGATGTACTCATACATTTATAAGCATGAAACACACGTACATATATGTTGGTGGAGTATACTTTAAATGAATGATCGAAAGATCAGGCTTTGAATGAGGTATTCTGTGTAAGTGTCAATAGAAGTGTCAAATCCATGTTAGACTTGAATTCAGACAATTGACTATGACTGGCTACAAACCACTGATGCTTTTAAGAAACTTCTTGGAAGCAAATCCGGAGAAAATAAGAACATAATCAACTGGGAAGATTGATGTCTCTCATATCATAGCCGAAGGCATTGCCAAGAATCTAAGTACATCTAATGGAAAATAAGATTACAAGAGGAATAGCATTTCAGTATTTTGTGAAATTGGTATATCCCATGTGTTTATTACATATTTAGATATCTTACTGGTTGTTCTAAAGACATGTATAGGAAAAAACCTTAGTAGAGTAATTTACCATGGAGTAATTTATAGGTATGGAATTTATACAGTAGTATATAGCAAAGAGTTGGTTCAAAGAACTGTTTGCCATTTTGTGTTGTTCACTCCCTCAATCTAAAACCTGCCTTCCCTCTAGGATTTGAAGAGAAAAAAATCATTTTATATTCCCTCTCTTTTAATTCAAAAAGGAGCTTTGAAAATATCCAGTCCATAAAACTATATCCAAAAAATGTACATTAGTCTGTCTTATAGGCGATAATACTAGTTGCCTAACAGGCCTTTATCCATTCTGTTTCCCAAATTCAAATTCAAGAAAACACAAATATACATAGAGAGAAAAATCCCTCTAATAACTATTTTTGAGAAGGAAATAGAAACAAATGTCTTCCTGCAGAAAATATATTCAAACTATTTCCATAGGCAAATATCACATGAAAAAAATCACCCTCTGACATTTAGACCTCTGATGATAATCTGCTTAGGCCCAGGCTGTGAGGGACTGGGCCAATAGTTATTTTCAAGGCTCTGTTAAGACCACATCCCTGAGGGATTTTTCTCGGATAGGATGTCAGGCATCTATGCAAAATGCTTTATTTTGTAAGAAAATTTCATCTCTAGACATTGGAATTCTCATTATTCAGCATTGACTAACCAGACTATCGTATGTCTTCTTACTTGACTACACAACTTAACAGCACAAAAAATGAGCAGCACTTCCACTCCTCATTTTAATTTGGGGGAAAAAAAAAGCCATTGACAATGATCATCATCACTGTGTAGGATAAACATTATCTTGACAGGAGGTCCTAGGAACAGAGAGAGAGAGAGGGAAATGAGAATTTTATAACATATTTTGGACTGCCTCAGAATATGGAAACTCATGCACACTACTTAGCACATTTATCCCAAGTCTTAGCATACATCCCTATGTGATGAATCTCTTTTAATTATTTCTGTTTTTATGAACAGTGGTAAATTATCTTTTCCAACGCAAGAAAGTGTGATATTAACTGTCTACTCTGCTGATGAATGGTGGACTTCTATTTCAAGGATGTGACAGTGAACGACAATAGAGAGTTGCCTTATCCCAATATTTTGGCCATTTTCTTTCTTTCTTTAATTATTAATTAATTAATTAATTTATTGCCCATTTTCTTTCCTCTTTCCTGATACTCGTCTCCCAGACTGAAGGCTTGGGACCAAGGCAAAAAAAAAAAAAGAAAAAAAGAAATTTCAGGGCTTTTCCAGGTCATTCTAAAAGAACGTTATGGATGAAACATTATTTTTGCAGAGAATTGGTATCTACTGTTTTGTTTTTAAGAAGGAATAAATATTGGGCAGGAGTTCTAGTTTGAAATGCATTTCCAGGGAAGAATTAGTAGGCAGGATGCCTCAGTACAGTAGGAACACTTGGGATGACTCAGCATAAATGGCACCTCGCTCCCCTCCTGCCTCTGGTGGGGAGGAAACTTTCCATCTGTAATACACACGGGTCCTTTCCATCATTTCTGCCTCGAAGCCACAGCAGGACCAGGCACTGACTGCAGAGTCAAGGAGGGCACGTTTTGGGGCCCCTCATTCTTGGGAGAGCCATTTAACGAGATGGAAATTATGCCCCAGGTTTTCAGCTGTGCTTTTTCACTTCAAAGGAAATTCCTGAATTAAACTATTCCCCATAGATTTAGAAGCTTTTTAAGAAAAAAAAAAAAGTGACTTTCTTCATTCCTCTTGGCAATGCCTAAAAATATGGCAGGAGAAATTCTAGACTCCTTGATTTTATGCACATGATCTAAACCAGATGATCATATAACCCTTCCATGGAAGCAGTAGGTATATTTAGCCCCCAGAGGCCTGAGTTCTCCAGAGCTCCAGGGTAGATGCCCCACAGAAGGGTGTGTGTGTTTGAGAAGGATGGGGTGCTCTGGGGGCAGCCAATACTGCCCAAATAGGGCCAGTTAGAAGCGGATTGGCTAGCTAAAAAGTCTGATTAAAACACAAAGATACTCAGAGAGCTTTCCCAATGCTCTTTTGTCCCACTGGAGGCTCCAATTTCCCAAGCAGAGAGATGACTTAGATAAATAAGATTAGAACTGTCAGGAGCCAGAATCTTTTCATGTGTAATGTTCTTTCTGTCTATTTATAATGTCTCCAGCATTTTAAATTCCATGTTAATCTTGTTATTTTATTTTCTAGGTACTTGGTCTGGTATTTTCTATGGTCCTGTACTGCCAGATTGGGAGCAAATGAATTTGTGGATGTGTCGAGCTATCATCCATCAAGCCCCTTTAACATTTTGCTTTGGTTTTGTAACTTTAAATATACAAGTGCTGTACACATTAGGAGCGGCTGTCTTATTAAAATGTCTCATTTAGCTAGATCACAGGTATCTTCCAGACACATTGAACATATTTAAGATGTGAGTGACACAAAATGATATGAATGTTATTTTTACTAAAAATAAAAGTAACCTTGTTTATGCTGGTGTATTTCCGTGTCTGATCATTGTGTTCAGGTGGTACTGTGCTTAAAACATTCATCTGGAGCCACCCAGTGGATTAATCTTCATTGCTAAGGGACAGATAGTGCCATAGTTAGTTAAAGCAGTGGATCTGGGCTTTTCAGAAGCAACACTCTCTTTTGTGTGGTATATCAACCATTGGTGATAACATTAAGTTGAACCTCAAGTTGAAAAAATTGAGAGTGGCCCAGCTGAAAGAGTCAGCATCTCTTTTCTATTTGTGCTACTCTTTACTAATGGTATCTCTTTTTTCTCCTAGTTATTGAGGCAGGGGTGGGCAAGAAGATCTGAGTGCTGCCTTTTAGTCTTTGAATCTCTGGTACCTCTTTGGATCTTCCTCTGGGACATGGATATAACTGCTTTTATCTTTCTAGTTCTTACAGGCATTTTTACATTTTACTTTTTATTTAGGTGTAATATACACACAATAAAGAGAACAAATCTTAAGACTCCACCTGTGTAAGCACTTTCTAGATCAAGATATAGAACATTTTCAGCACACCTGAATGCCCCTTTATTCTGATGTGCTGGAGCTGGCTCACACCAGCTCTCCAGGGCAGACTGTATATATAACATGTGCTCAGTGACATCATGTTGGTAGCTTGAAATCCACCGTGGTGGGAGGATTGATACCATGGAAATTGGAAAATGCTGTAAAATCAAGATTTTTTTTCTTTTTTTTGAGAGTGTGTTGGTAATCATTTACCAGTATATCACTGCTCTCGGCAAGTACCTCCCCAAAGGTAACCTTTGATTTCTATGGCCATAGATTCATTTTGCTTACTCCTGAACTTTCTATAAATGAAATAGTAAAGTAGGTACTCCTTTTACTCAACATTTTGTTTGTGAGATTCGTCTATATTATTGTATGCAACTCTACTTTATTCTCATTGCTCTGTAATATTCCATCGTATATGAATATATTACAATGTATTTACCCACTCTCCTCCTGATGGGTGTTGGATTTGCTTCCAATTTGGTGCTAGTATGAATAAAGTTGCTGTAAACATTCTTTTATATCTTTTGGTGCTTATAGGTACTGATTTCTGGATAGGTATGCAGGGGTGGAATAGCTTTGTATTCGTATATTTAGATTTAATGGGTTCTGTCCAAGAAATTTTCTGAAGCGGTTGTGCTTATCTGTACTCAGACTAGACAAGTAGGGTAGACTTAATCTCCTCTTCTGAGGAGGAGGAAGGGAAAGAAAGGCAGTCATTATCAAATGGATCAGAGTGGGGAAGGAGTGGGAAACGGGGGGCAGGGGGTGCATACTGGGCTGGGTTGGGCAACCTAATTCTGTGCTCTCCTGTTGCTGATAAAGATAACTATCCTTTTCCGAGCACCTGTCATCACCTGAGAACTATACCAGAAACTGTAATTTTACTGTCGTATTTCTTCTTACTACATGCTTATGAACTAGATACTATTATCCTCATTTGGCAGGGAAGAAAATAGAGACGTCTGTGAAGTTAGGGTAACATGCCTAGAGTAAAGCCATTAGTGGTCGGCAGAACTAGGATCCAAACCTTGACATTTGCCTTCCAAACCTCCCAAACAATTGCCTCCCAAATGGATCATGCTCTATTTGGCTTTCCCATATGTCTATTAATGTACTTGCCATATTTTATTTTAATTACCTGTTCATGTGTTTGTCTCTGTTAGTATACTGCAACTTTTTGAGGGCATTGATTGTTTCTTATTTGTCTTTATGTCCCCTGTACCTATCACAGTGCTTACCACACAATAGGTGCTCAGCAAACTATAGCTAAAACTAATACTTAGATTTATTGAGAGCATGCTGTGTGCCTAAAAATAATCAAAGCACCTTGCATAGAGTAATTCATTTAATCCAGAACAACCCTCTTTGGTTAGTACTATTGTTTGGTCCACTTTACAGACACGGAAACCAGAGATGAATGGGCTTAACTAACTTTTCTTAGGTCGTGCAGCCAGCAACTGCAGGAGTTGTGATTCAGTCTAAGTGACTCGAAACCTGGGCTCCTTATGTCATGTCATTTTGCCCAGTGTTGTTGGGAGAAATAGATAAGGAAATGAATATGGAAGTGCCTTTTGCATAGTGTCAGGCACATATTAGGATATTTTATGGTAAACATTTTATGGTATCAGTGATATAAAGAGCTGTGTCAGCGTAAGCAGGAAAGCATAAAACTCTCTTAGCTATTTCAAACAACAGAAATACAATGCAGGGAATTGCTGTATTAGTCAGCCAGGACTGCCGTAACAAAATACAACAGACTCAGTGGCTTAAACAATGAATATTAGAGAGAGAGAGAACTCTCCATTGTCTTCTCTCATTAAAACACTAATGCTAGCAGATCAGGGCTCCACCCTTACGACCTAATTTAACCTTAATTACTTCCAAACAGAGCCACACTCAGGGTTAGGGCCCAAACATATGAATTGGGCGGGGAGGAGGGATGGGGCTGATCATTGTGTTCAGGTGGTGGGGGGGGCGGGGGGGAGCAAAATTCAGTCCATACCAATTGCTTACACAGATGAAGGAAGAAATAAGCAGCCAAATGGGAAGGCAAGGTAAACCAGAGATTAGCAACGGTGGGGAGTCACTACCACCTTTAGAACTGGAGGGCCAGAGATGGTGTTACCAGATCCCAGGATCCAGAACCACCTGGCAGAAGATGGAACCACGGCAGGGACAGCAGAGGAAGGGCTGGTTAGCAAGAGTAGGAGCCACGGAGGTGACTCAGAAGGTATCATCACAACAGAGAAAGGGAGAAGTGCCCTGGATTCTTTCCTCTGGCCCACTGTTTTGCCAGTACCTCCCGTTGGCTGACCTCATCTAGAAACCCAAGAACAAGGGAGCCTGGGAAATGTAGTTTCCTCTGATACAAAGCCAAGCTAAGAATGGCAAGGACGGGATTGAGCAGATGGAGAAGACTGTCATAGCAACTGGACATTTAGAGAGCAAGCACAAGGGGCTGAACTTGTTGATTGAAGTGTAGTACAATTGGGCAAAGTATAACTGACATTAAAATTTTCATGAGAAATGGTACAGAATTTCCTGAATTCTTTCTGTTTTGATCAAAGTTCAAAGTATTTTAAGGATAGGGAGGACTTCAGAGCAGTTGTTCCTTACTGGGGGCCATCTGTCCCTCAGGGATTATGTGGTACTGTCTGAAGACAGTTTGGGTTGTCACAACAGGGGGAGAAGGGGAATGTCACTGGCATCTAGTGGGCAGGGGCCCGGGTTGCTGCTAAATATCCCATAATGCACAGGACTGTGCCCCTATAACAAAGAATTATCAGTCCGAACTCCCCATAGTGCTGGGATTGATTGAGAAAAACTGCTTTAGAATCACATCTGAATAACAAAATATCCTCTTTCCAAGGGACAGTGAAGTGCATGTTACCATGGAAAGTGAACTGGAGTGGAGTCAGGAGTCATCCTAGACCAGGCTCCAATATGTTGCTGGCTTTGGGATTTTTGCAAATCACTTAACTTGAAGTTTCCTCCATTGCAATGAAGAAATTTTATCTAGAAGAAGATATTTATCTGCTTGTGATAGTTCATCAAAGTTTTAATTTTGGTCTTTGGTTCTGAAGGTGATTATGAGGGAAACTTTTATTCTCTTGTAGTATATTAAAATTAGTTTTAAGAATAAGCTCATACTTTACCTTCATTCCTCCCAGAACAAACCGCCATATTCAAAGACATATTAAATTGTTTAACAAACATAAAAGAATAAAATAAAAGATAACTGTCATCAAACTGATTATTCAATGTAGATGGAAATGTTTCTTCCAGTTAAGAGAAATGTAGGAATTATGTTCGTTATGCTTAAGACTGTAGTGTTGCACTAATTCAGATATAAGTAATTATATTAGATTTTGGCAAATGCTTCCCAAATCTGTCGATTTCTCTGCTTCCCTGTTGCCACCATCCTATGTGATCTTTCTTACTCCCTCCTGAAGTAGAAACAACTAATGGGCTACTCAACATCCTTTGTTTCTTTGTCTACCTTACTCATATATCTTGATTTTGTTGGCGTATAATGAGCCCAACTAAAATATTTTGTTTCCCATCACCTACTGTAGCGAAACTCCTCTTTAACACACCTAGCAAAGACACAAACTAAGAACACACATAATTAGTGAGTGTTTCTCATTTTCCATGGTAGCAGCCTGATCCCATTTTTAATTATTCTTACAATAATGTAAGAGCATCTTTCAAGAGACTGAATTTACTAGACCAAACTTAGAGCCTTAAAGTAGGATTTTATCATTTCGATAAAGGAGATACTGTCTGTCGGTGCCTATAATCTAAATTGACCAAGAGTCACATAATTTGAACTGTGAACAGTTGGAAAGTGTAACTTTCGTATCCCAGAAAGGATGACTGTCTTGGGTGATAATGCAAGCCTTTGCCAAACACTTTTCCTTAGGAGCTAGCTCTCTACTAGACAAACACAGCCAGCTGCAAAAGTGGGATATTGTTCCACATCGTCTCAAGGTCTGTTTTTGGACTCTTCGTTTGGTTCTATCCTTGGACTGATACCATAACTGTTGAATATTATAAGGCTTGATATAAAATAGAATAAGCTCTCTTACTTTGTTATTCTTCTTAAATGTTGTGGTTATTCTTTGCCCTTGTAGAAATTTTAGAATCAGCTTGCCAATTTACACACACACACACACACAGAGCCCTACTAGAATTTTTATTGAGATTGTTCTGAATTTATAACTTAGTTTA